TGCCCCCCAGGCAAGCCCCCGTTTTTGCCCCATATCCCCCCCCCCAGCTGCTAGCTGCATCCTGCCCCAGTAGACTGGCTAGCTCCATCCCTCTGAACCTCCTGATTTCTCTCCCACAGACCAGCTAGCCCCATTCTCCCCAACACGCTGGCTAGCACACAGGGTCCATCTCCCCTCCATGGTGTCCCCGGCCCTTCCATAACACAAAGGGTCCATGTCTTTCCATCCCATCCCTTCCATAGCACACAGGGTCCATGCTTTCCCCAGCCCTTCCATAACACAGAGGTTCCATGTCCCCTCCATGGTATCCCCAGCCCTTCCATAACACAGAGGTTCCATGTCCCCTCCATGGTATCCCCAGCCCTTCCATAACACAGAGGTTCCATGTCCCCTCCATGGTATCCCCAGCCCTTCCATAACACAGAGGTTCCATGTCCCCTCCATGGTATCCCCAGCCCTTCCATAACACAGAGGTTCCATGTCCCCTCCATGGTATCCCCAGCCCTTCCATAACACAGAGGTTCCATGTCCCCTCCATGGTATCCCCAGCCCTTCCATAACACAGAGGTTCCATGTCCCCTCCATGGTATCCCCAGCCCTTCCATAACACAGAGGTTCCATGTCCCCTCCATGGTATCCCCAGCCCTTCCATAACACAGAGGTTCCATGTCCCCTCCATGGTATCCCCAGCCCTTCCATAACACAGAGGTTCCATGTCCCCTCCATGGTATCCCCAGCCCTTCCATAACACAGAGGTTCCATGTCCCCTCCATGGTATCCCCAGCCCTTCCATAACACAGAGGTTCCATGTCCCCTCCATGGTATCCCCAGCCCTTCCATAACACAGAGGTTCCATGTCCCCTCCATGGTATCCCCAGCCCTTCCATAACACAGAGGTTCCATGTCCCCTCCATGGTATCCCCAGCCCTTCCATAACACAGAGGTTCCATGTCCCCTCCATGGTATCCCCAGCCCTTCCATAACACAGAGGTTCCATGTCCCCTCCATGGTATCCCCAGCCCTTCCATAACACAGAGGTTCCATGTCCCCTCCATGGTATCCCCAGCCCTTCCATAACACAGAGGTTCCATGTCCCCTCCATGGTATCCCCAGCCCTTCCATAACACAGAGGTTCCATGTCCCCTCCATGGTATCCCCAGCCCTTCCATAACACAGAGGTTCCATGTCCCCTCCATGGTATCCCCAGCCCTTCCATAACACAGAGGTTCCATGTCCCCTCCATGGTATCCCCAGCCCTTCCATAACACAGAGGTTCCATGTCCCCTCCATGGTATCCCCAGCCCTTCCATAACACAGAGGTTCCATGTCCCCTCCATGGTGTCCCCAGCCCTTCCATAAGACAGAGGTTCCATGCCCCCTCCATGGTGTCCCCAGCCCTTCCATAGCACATAGGGTCCATGTACATCCCAGCCCTTCGCATAGCACACCGGGTCCATGCCATCCCCAGCCCTTCCATAGCACAGAGCATCCATGTCCCCTCCATGGTGTCCCCAGCCCTTCCATAGCACACAGGGTCCATGCCCCCTACATACCATCCTTTCCGTAGCACACGGGGTCCATGTCCCCCTCTCCTCCTTGCCGTCTACAATCTCAATACAAATGAGTAAACTAAACATGAGATTGTAGTCCATCCCGGGAACGAGCTTGGAGCGGTGACTACTTTACAACACACACAGAGACCATGGGGAACAGAAGTAGCCCCCCTCCAGAAGGCAGGACAGTGTCAGAGATGATTGGAGGATCTACAGCCGAGTGATACACAAATAAGAGACATTTGTTGTTCATAGTTAAGGCACCTGAATTATTTTTTTTAAGATTTAACTCCTGAGTTTAGTGTCACTTTAACATGCACATTGTTTAGATCCTTGGTTCTCAACTGGTGGGTCGTGACCCCGTGTTCAGTGGGTCGTCGCATTGCTTTCCACTTTTCTAGGTGAGAGGCTCCTCTGCCTCCCCCTAGCGCAGCACTGTCAGTTCTCGTGCCAAGCAGCCATTCAAAATATGCTGCCCAGTGCCGAGTGTCAGCTTGATGTGGGACGGGGCTATGGCCGTGAGGGAGCTCCATCCATACGTGCATTGCTTACAGCTCCTTCACTTGTCCTATAGAGGTGACATCACATTCTGGTTCCCGGCACCTCTACAGGGCACGCAAGGGCGCTGTACAAGTAGAGCACATATGAATGGATGTCCATTGCAGCACATGAGCTCACATTGGACCCCAGGCTGAGGATCCACTCCACTTCTCATAAGGTAGGGAGACTGGGTGGACCTTAAAAAAAAGTTTTTATTAAAGCATTTTTGGAGTGCGTATGTGTGTGAGAATGTGACTGTGGTTATGTATGTCAGTGTTTTGAGGGTCCATTCACAGTACGATTAACGCACTGTACCACGCAATCGCACCTACCGTGCATTCTGGCGTGAGAGGTGTGTTGCGTTACCATTCATTTGAATGGCACCCCATACGCACCTCCCACCCACAGTTTGTACACCCGCACCAGAACTCGTGATGCCCTAAAGCCGTGCGTTCCATTCCAGTGCGACTTGAGTCGCGACTTAATGACCGAGGACAAATGTGGGTCCTGAGGTTACACAGGTTGAGAACTGCTGCTTTAGACTATGTAAAAAAAGTTCTCTCTTTTACATTAAAATGAGTATAAATTCCCTTTAATTTGAGGCATATAGATATTTATATGTTAAGTCCTTGCTTTGTAGAAATGTCCTGCTTTTCCATATATATAGAAGCAGAATGAATATATTGGTCACACCAGTAACGTCCTCCCCATTTTGTCTTGCAGAAGAAGCAGTTGCAAGACGCGAGAGAGGCAGCAAGACGGAAAAGAGAAGAGCTGTACATGCAGGATTAGAGAGCGTCCAGCAGAGGGCGCCGCTCCCTCATACCTGTCCTCATATTGCACTCTGCCCCAGCGTGCTGTGTACACTATGTAACATTGTACGTGGCTCCATGTATAGTTCTCTTCAGTAAAGATTTTCTTTTGTAAATATTTCTTGTGTCTCGCAGAATATCTGTAATTGAGTTGGAGGATTACAATAGTGCAAGAAGAATGTAGACAGATACAGGGGACATAGGATATCAAAGACAATGGTAATTGGGGTACAGCTAAGCGCCTGTTCACCCCGGACTGTTTTCTTTTATAGTTCCCAATTGTTTAAAAAAAACAAAACAAAAATCACAAACTTACCCTTGCACTGGAGCTGCCCCTGCACTGCAAGGGGTTATGTCAGGGGTGGGCAAAATCCGGCCCTCCAGCTGTGGTGAAGCTACAAATCCCATTATGCATCTGTCTCTGGGAGTCATGCCCGTGGCTGTGAGAATCTTGCAATGCCTTATGGGATTTGTGGTTCCACAACAGCTGGAGGGCCACCCCTGCGTTAAGTGCTTGTTTTGTCTAGGGGGCTCTAATAAAGCAGTTTTACTCGCCTGATCCTCAGTCAGCGCTCTCCTCTCTCCCCCTTCACTTCGGCTATGGACCGTCCCTTGGTGTCCTCACATCTAATGCAGGTGAATGGACCTGTATAAGATGTGATGACATCAGTGGGCTGCTGGAGCCCAGGGGAGAAGAGGCTGCGGGGACCGGTGTAGCAGTGACTGGAGGGATCCGGCAGGACCGAGGATCAGGTAAGTATATCTGCTTTATTTGAGCCACCCCCCCCTAGACAAAATGAGCACTAACCCTGGCAGTGCGGGGCAGCCCCACTTCAAGGGTAAGTCTGTTATTTCCTCTTTATAGCCGAATCAATGTATTTATAAAACAGACAATAGACAAGTTCTGAGAAAAAACATACAATTTTTCTAAGACTTGTAGGACTTTATGGTGGTGACCGGTAACTTTTAATAGGCTGATTGTTTCCCAGGTAAGTCGTATTTTTTTTTCTGGCACATAATATTCTATTCGGCCCTTGGTCTCTCCAGTTTGGTCTTGTTCCTCCTAGGTTTGTATCTGTTGGTCTTTCTCTCCTCTGTTGTCTATTTTTTTTTTTTCCTCCTTCCCAGAAGAGGCGGAGCTGTTATAGCAGCAAAGGGCGGAGCCAACCCAATACTGAACCCTACGGACTAAGACTGGGATGCCATTAACGTTTATGTGTGTGTAAAGGCGTCCCAATACTTCTGGCAATATAGTGTATGTTTTATGTAACTTGCTCCGCCTCCTGTCTACCTGTTACTTTTAGCCACTTTATACAAAAGAATCTTCTCCCATTTCAAAGGCAGGAAAGTTACGTGAGAAGGTCTTTGTCTTTCTGGTTTAGCTCTGTTTTAATTCATTCTCTGTGTTGTCTTCATAATCTTCACATACTTCCTCCTCCCATCAACACAGATCTACAGGTTCATCTTATCCTCATTCAGGCTGCCACGAGAGATCTCATTCTCCTTCCTGATATTGCTCCTCATCTTCCCATTGGTCAAGCCATCAAGGGGACTGTTGTTGGTCCTCCATACAGAAAGTCATCCCAGATTAAATAACCCGTCAAGGACTTTTCAGTTTCGTTCATTGAAGGACACAGTGGAGATCTTGATTTCTGTGCTGATGGGTTATACCGCCACTTGCGGGAGTAGGACGCTAGGCACAAATATAGGATTTTTTTGTACTCGCCGTAAAATCCTTTTCTCTGCGTTCATTGAAGGACACAGCACGCTCCCTACTTCAGGTCTATTTGTAGCTTAGTTCTACTGCTTTGTGACTAACTGAGCTGCCTTGGATGGGGGTGTGGTCACCAGCAGGATCCGCCTCCAGAGCCAAGCTTCTTTTTTTTGTGCCTAGCGTCCTACTCCTGCAGGTGGCGGTATAACCCATCAGTACAAAAATCCTGATCTCCGCTGTGTCCTTCAATGAACGTAGAGAAAAGGATTTTGCAGCGCGTACAAAAAATCCTATTTTTACAGAGGATCTGAAGGTTTTTTTTATCATCCTTCAGGCTGCCTCATGAGATCTAATTTCCTGATATTGCTCCTCGTCTTCCCATTGGTCAAGCCATCATCCAGGGCTGTAGCTACCATGGGGCGAGTGAGGCACTCACTTCAGGCGCAGCTAAGAGGGGGGCGCAGTCAGGGCCCCGGCCTGGCCTCGCCCCTGTTACCATGGTGAGCACAGGGCGCCATTGGCAACAGGGGTGCCAGGCCAACACAGCCGCGGCTTGGCAGGGAGAAAAGGTCCAGCTTCTCCTTGGATCCCTGCTGCTCTCCCCCCACCTGTATGGGCAGAGGGGCATGCGTGCCGCCATCCTGGAGGCGGGGCACATGATGTCACATACCGCACGCGTCTGTTGGGGGGCAACATTTTCTGTTTGTTGCCTCGGGTGCAAAAAGGCGCTAGCTACGGCTCTGCCATCATCACATCAGACCACAAGGGGACTGCTGTTGCTCCTCCATAAAGAATGTTCTCCCAGATTAAATAACCCGTCAAGCATTTGTTAAAGAAGCCTCAACCAATCAGATAACAGATAATCTATACATTACGAGGGGGGGTTTATCAAAACTGGAGCAGGCAAAATCTGGAGCAGCTGTGCACGGCAACCAATCACCTTCTATCTTTCATTTTCAGAACTTAACTGAGCAAACTGAGAAGAGAAGCTGATTGGTTGCCATGGGCAACTGCTCCAGATTCTTCTGCTCCAGTGTTGATACATTCATCCCTATGCCTGTTATCTGCCAAGAAGCCAAAGAAGGTATCAACAAGTATAATTCCGGCATGTTACTAGCCCCTTCTTTGGTTATACCTTCCTTGACACGCTAGGATTTTTGAGGAAAGCGAGGAGCCAGGAACCATTGGTTTGTCTTTTTGCTCAGTTTCCCATATATAGCAGCTTCTTATCATGACTGAAAAAAAAGAGGTGGATCATAAACCTTCCCTTCACAATTGTCTCTCAAAATGATACTCCCTGTGGGAGGAGAAGGCCCAATCTCTCGATACATGCTTTGTCTCAGGATTCAACAGCATGCCTGAAGGCGAAATATGATAGTGCTATGCTCTCTTTAGCTGACCCATACTTCTCTGGGAATCCTTTGTCATATATAAAAGTTCATCTAAAGCCAGATCTTCTGGTTGTATGGGTAATGTGGTTGTATGTAATATGGGTCAGGAAGGTGCTCCAGAAAGTAACGAGTAGGGGCTTGTATTGTGCTATGCTATCATTAGCTGGCGCATAACTATCTGGGATTCCTTTGCATGTGATAAAGTTCATCTAAAACCATTTGTTTGTTGTTATATGGCTGTAATATGGATCAGAAAAGGGCTCAAGGAAGTAAGAAGTATTGGCTTGTATTGTACTATGCTATAAGCTGACCCATAACTCTCTGGGAATCCTTTGTCATATATGAACTGCTGAACTATGTCCTGCAAGTGAGCGCTCAGCCTTGCTAACTTAGTGCTCGCAGCGCAAGTGAATGTGGATGCAGAGTGTCGAGTGTGACGGAGAAGGTGGGGGACAGAGCACCAGCAGCCATTTTAACCGTGGGCACACCTGGGAGCGAAGGAGGTGCCTGAATCCCCATGGAGGAAATCAATTCAGTATGGGAACCTGCAATTTAATGTTTTGGTGGACTAGCACACTAAATATTCATTAAACAATTATATTTGTTAGTCAAAAATATTATCCTCCGCCATTTTTTTTAGTACTGTGCAGTCGAAGCGTTTAGTGAAGCTGCGGCAGCCGAAGGGAAGTGGGGCAGGACAGCTACTCAGCGATTGGCTAAGGAACTGAACGTGCCTCACAGACGATGCCCTTAGTAAAGATGGTGGCTCAGGAGAGAAGAGGCACTTAAGAAGTTTGCCAGAATGAGAGTTCTTGTTACCCTGTGTGGAAATGTGAGTGTGCTTTTCTACAATTAACATTAACATTTTTATTGTGTCTCATTTACATTTCCATGATCAGGGATGGGGCTCCCCTTTAAGCGACGCAAAAAGAAGAAACCATAGCGACCCCCATGCATTTCCGTCTAGGGGGACCTGTCATTTGTATTTCCCGCTGGTTACGTCACCAAAACCCAGCCAATAATATCTGTAAACATCGCTGTGCCCGCCCTTAGCAACTCACTACCTCCTCCGCAACGTCCACAGCAACCAGCACCTCGCACAACCTACGAAGCCAATTTGACAAAGCCCCACCCCCGTCCTTATTTTTCAGCCAATCGACGAAGCTTTTCCCCTTCCAGGCCACGCCCCGCACCACCCGGGGACGGTCTAAGCAAATAGCACGCGTCATTGGGTCTTCGCGGTCGCCTCCCAGCAACCAGCAGCCCCGCCCCTTGACAACGCGTTTCCCTTCACAATTGTCTCTCAAAATGATACTCCCTGTGGGAGGAGAAGGCCCAATCTCTCGATACATGCTTTGTCTCAGGATTCAACAGCATGCCTGAAGGCGAAATATGATAGTGCTATGCTCTCTTTAGCTGACCCATACTTCTCTGGGAATCCTTTGTCATATATAAAAGTTCATCTAAAGCCAGATCTTCTGGTTGTATGGGTAATGTGGTTGTATGTAATATGGGTCAGGAAGGTGCTCCAGAAAGTAACGAGTAGGGGCTTGTATTGTGCTATGCTATCATTAGCTGGCGCATAACTATCTGGGATTCCTTTGCATGTGATAAAGTTCATCTAAAACCATTTGTTTGTTGTTATATGGCTGTAATATGGATCAGAAAAGGGCTCAAGGAAGTAAGAAGTATTGGCTTGTATTGTACTATGCTATAAGCTGACCCATAACTCTCTGGGAATCCTTTGTCATATATGAACTGCTGAACTATGTCCTGCAAGTGAGCGCTCAGCCTTGCTAACTTAGTGCTCGCAGCGCAAGTGAATGTGGATGCAGAGTGTCGAGTGTGACGGAGAAGGTGGGGGACAGAGCACCAGCAGCCATTTTAACCGTGGGCACACCTGGGAGCGAAGGAGGTGCCTGAATCCCCATGGAGGAAATCAATTCAGTATGGGAACCTGCAATTTAATGTTTTGGTGGACTAGCACACTAAATATTCATTAAACAATTATATTTGTTAGTCAAAAATATTATCCTCCGCCATTTTTTTTAGTACTGTGCAGTCGAAGCGTTTAGTGAAGCTGCGGCAGCCGAAGGGAAGTGGGGCAGGACAGCTACTCAGCGATTGGCTAAGGAACTGAACGTGCCTCACAGACGATGCCCTTAGTAAAGATGGTGGCTCAGGAGAGAAGAGGCACTTAAGAAGTTTGCCAGAATGAGAGTTCTTGTTACCCTGTGTGGAAATGTGAGTGTGCTTTTCTACAATTAACATTAACATTTTTATTGTGTCTCATTTACATTTCCATGATCAGGGATGGGGCTCCCCTTTAAGCGACGCAAAAAGAAGAAACCATAGCGACCCCCATGCATTTCCGTCTAGGGGGACCTGTCATTTGTATTTCCCGCTGGTTACGTCACCAAAACCCAGCCAATAATATCTGTAAACATCGCTGTGCCCGCCCTTAGCAACTCACTACCTCCTCCGCAACGTCCACAGCAACCAGCACCTCGCACAACCTACGAAGCCAATTTGACAAAGCCCCACCCCCGTCCTTATTTTTCAGCCAATCGACGAAGCTTTTCCCCTTCCAGGCCACGCCCCGCACCACCCGGGGACGGTCTAAGCAAATAGCACGCGTCATTGGGTCTTCGCGGTCGCCTCCCAGCAACCAGCAGCCCCGCCCCTTGACAACGGGCTTCCTGCTAGTCCTGTGATGTCCCGACCTCCCGTGACATCACCACGCGGAAGTGTCCAACGATTCGGGGGGACCGTTGTCGCTGGCGGAGGCAGTAGCGGCGGCGGGATTAAGACGAGATGGCTCCGACTGGGCTGAAGGCGGTGGTCGAGGAGAGTAAGTGCTGTCGTCTCGTGCTCTGTGTGTGCTGGTCCTGGCATAGAACCTGTCAGAATGTAGTGCCAGGTCATTCCGTGGGCAGTGACGTCAGGGGTGGAAACAGGAAGTGGCATTTCCTCTGGGTGAATTGGGGAAAACACACACTGCTGAGGTAATAGGGCTGAAGATGTGACGTCTGCAGTGCTGCATGGCTGTGCATTGAACCACATTGGATGAGCGAGCAAACCTTTGGTGTTCCAAGTGTGTCTGGAGCCTCCTGAGTACGCTGCTGAGGCACCGATGTGTTCTTCCCCATTGCCTTTTCATTGGAGGTGCATCAAAGCGCATGTCGGCGTGCATTAATGTGCATTGGTGCGTTTTTTATTTGCATCGCAATGCATTGTATTGAACGCCAACGTGTTTCATAACATAACGCGCCCTCTGGGCCCGTCCACATCTAATTAGGACCCCTGTCAGGTTTTTATTGCTGTCTGTGTCCCCATCAGGGAGATTCTCCCTTCTTGGTGACCGTTGTAACTGATGCATCTGTCTCTGGGAGCCATGCCTGTGAGGATCCTGCAATGCCTCATGGGACTTGTAGTTATTATTATTACATAGTATTTATATAGCGCCAACAGTTTGCGCAGCGCTTTACAATATTAGGAAGACATTACAATACAATTTGGGGGATGGAAGCCAGTGGAGGGATTGGCAGAGGAGGGCGGAGGATGGAAGCCGGTGGAGGGATCGGCAGAGGAGGGATGCAGACACTGAGCGGTTGGTAAGGTGAATGAGTCTGGCAGCTGCATAGTTTCACCGCAGCTGGGGGGGCGGAGTTTGCCTACCCCTGAAGTAGATGATGTCATCACAGGAGGTCCACATGAAGGATCCCATTACTATGAGCGGTCACACAGAGTGTTGTGTCGCCGATCGCTTGAAGAGCTTTTTTTTTTTTATGACTTCAGACGGATCTGGCGCAGCATGTCGGCATTTTTTTTGCCAATTGCTTGTTACTAGGAATGCACCAATACTAGTGTCGGTACGGAGTATTTGGGCAAGTACTTGTCCAAATGCGCGGATACCTATCCTAATACCGGAACTTCCGGCCAGAGGAAGATCTCCCTCTGACCGGCAGTGCCGCGCGGGAACATGGAGCCGGCTTCCCGGCCAATCAGGAAGCCACGCAGCGGGTTACGATGTGCCGCCCGGCTTCCTGATTGGCTAGAAAGCCGGCTTCACTTGTTGCAAGGCAGCCTGACTTCCTGACAAATCAAGAAGCCGGGCGGCACGTCATGACCTGGCTTCCTGATTGGTCAAGAAGCCAGGCCGCCTTGCAACAAGTGAAGCCGGCTTCCTAGCCAATCAGGAAGCCGGACGGCCCATCATGAACAGCCGCCCGGCTTCCTGATAATCTGGGCCCGCGGATGCTGGTATGAGTATTCGGTATCGGCAAGTACTTGGAAAAAAAAGGTACTCGATACCGAAAAACCGGCATTGATTCATCCCGACTTGTTACCCACCTGAAGGGGGCGTCGCAGTGTGAATAGGGCAACAGTTGTTTTCTACGCACCCTGGCGGTGACGTTTATCAAGTGCAGAATATACCAAAAACCAGTCACATGGTATGGATGGGCCCCTCAGGGTCACGCTCTGTGTCCGTAGAGTTGCCTCTCTGCCGGCCGTCTCTTTTAACAACATTCCCTGCATGCTTTGCGGCTTCTCCTCCGCTCGTTCCTTTGGTCTACTTTTGATTTCTAAGGACTACATATCCCACAGCACCTTGCTGCCTGCAAGCAGTGATGAGGTGGCTCCTGTAGTTCAGAAGGCAGGCTCTGGGAAATGGTGACACAGCAGTTCATATTCGCTACGGGTTACTACATTCAACTCACTACGGGTCACTGCTCACCACAGGACAGATAGACAAATCTCCCACCGTGGCTAGTGTATTCTTACAGCTCATGTCTGCTGCTGTCAGAATACCTGAACAGTTATTGCAGCTGATTGGCTGCAGTCGCTGGCTGTTCTTTTTGAATTTTTCACCCGACTCCTTTTGAGTTTGTTGTAGATTGAAGGATGTCGGGCAGGAGGGTACCAACAGGGACACCCAGGGAGCAAATCTCTCTCCGTGTATGACCAGATTGGGATGAGCGCTGGTAGGTGACGTCGTCTCTGATGATGAGGATCTCTGGATGCTGGGCGAGCTGGGAACGGGCCGGGTCAGTAACTTGCAGGTAGCACAGTACAGAATCAGCAGGCAGTGGCAGCGCCAGGAACGGCCGGGTCAGTAACTTGCAGGCAGTTTGGTACAGAATCAGCTAGCAGAGGCAGCGCCAGGAACGGGCAGGGTCAGTAACTTGCAGGCAGTATGGCACAGAATCAGCTAGCAGAGGCAGCACCAGGAACGGGCCGGGTCAGTATCTTGCAGGCAGTATGGTACAGAATCAGCTAGCAGAGGCAGCACCAGGAACGGGCCGGGTCAGTAACTTGCAGGCAGTATGGTACAGAATCAGCTAGCAGAGGCAGCGCCAGGAACGGGCCGGGTCAGTAACTTGCAGGCAGTATGGTACAGAATCAGCAGGCAGAGCCAGCGCCAGGAACGGGCCGGGTCAGTAACTTGCAGGCAGTATGGAACAGAATCAGCAGGCAGAGGCAGCGCCAGGAACAGGCCGGGTCAGTAACTTGCAGGCAGTATGGAACAGAATCAGCTAGCAGAGGCAGCCTCGGGAACGGGCCGGGTCAGTAACTTGCAGGTAGCACAGTACAGAATAAGCTAGCAGAGGCAGCGCCAGGAACGGGTTGGGTCAGTAACTTGCAGGCAGAGGCAGGGCCAGGAACGGGCCGGGTCAGTAACTTGCAGGCAGAGGCAGGGCCAGGAACGGGCCGGGTCAGTAACTTGCAGGTAGCGTGGTACAGAATCAAGTTGTTGCAATGACAAATGTTTTGGCATTCTCATGTTTATTTCTTGTGTTTGTTTTGGTGACACAAAAAAGTGGAGGAAAAAAAAGCCAAAGCTGACGCATTCCACGCAAAACTCCAAAAATGGACTGGACAGAATTATTGGCACCGTCTCCAAATCACAAGAAATAATTGCATTCCAAGTCTTTGTGGAGAAGCACAGACAATCTGGCGGTTACAAGTCCATCTCCAGAGATCTTCATGTTCCTGTGTCCTCTGTGCGCAACATTGCCAGGAAGTTTCCAGCCCTCGGCACCGGCGCTGATCTCCCCGGACGTGGAGGAAAGAGAACAATTCATCAAAGATTGTAACGAAGGATTGTTGGAATGGCGGATAAAGACCCGACATCAACTTCCAGACACATCCAAGCCGACCTTCAGGCACCGGGTACAACTGTGTCACCTCGCACTATACGTCACCATCTGAATGATCGGAGACCCAGGAGGACCCCACTGCTGACACCGAAACATCAAAAAGCCAAAACTTACCTGAGAAGCCAAAATCCTTCTGGGAGAATGTGCTGAGGACAGACGAAAGAAAATGACAGCTTTGTGGTGCAGCCCATCATCCTACTTCAATCCAGTCCCTCCAGTCACAGATGGTGGGGGGGTCACTGATGTTTTGGGGTCGCTCTGCTGCTTCAGGCGCTGGATGTCTTGTCTGTGTGCACTGCATTATGAAATCTGAAGACTACCAAAGATTTCTGGGGTGCAATGTGGGGCCCAGTGTCAGAAAGTTGGGTCTCCGTCAGAGGTCACGGGTCTTACAGCAGGACAATGACCCAAAGCACACGTCACAAAGCCCCCAGAAATGGTTTCAGACAAAGTGCTGGAGAGTACTGGACCAGCCAGCAATGAGTCCAGATCTGAATCCCATAGAGCTCCTGTGGAGGGAAACGGAACCTTCCGATCTGAGAGACCCGGAGCAGTTGGCGGAAGACGAGCACTCCAAAATCCCTGCAGAGAGGTGTAAGAACTCATTGATGGTTACAGGAAGTCATTGATTTCACTTATTTGTGTCCAAGGGCTGTGCTACCAAATATTCATTGAGGGTGTCAATAATTTTGTCCAGTCCATTTTTGGAGTTTTGCGTGGAATGCGTCAGATTTGGGGGTTTTTTTTTTTTCTCCACTTTTTTGTGTCACCGATACAAACAGAATAAATAAACATGAGAATGCCGAAACATTTGTAATTACAACATGGTGCATTATCTGACAGAAACGCAGGGGTGCCAATATTTTTGGCCGTGTGTGTGTGTGTATATTAATCATTTTTATTTATTTTTAAGTTCTGCTATGTGATTGGGTAAGACATATAAAGTCGGTGTTCTCCCAATTTGGCTGCAGAAGTGGAAATACACTTTAAGGGTGATAGATACCCGGGGAGATCTGGTCATCGTGTGTCTGGTGTCTGTGTATACAGAGAGCGGAATACAAAAACAAAAATAGAGAAATGGGGCTTTAAAAGTGTCCTCAAATGCAAGGAGACCCAGTTCAAAATGACATGTCGTTTATTGTCTAAAAATATATTCTTTATTAAAATAAAGATGACAGATTAGTGATATCATTAGATGGTACAAAACCTCCCGGGATCACATATAGATACATACTGTGTATATAACAATAACTTATTAACATTTATCTCCTTAAATATCTCTTTTATATAATTGCATAAATAAATTTATCCATAATGTTGAGTAGATCTATAATGTGTCCAGTTTTCGACATGTTTCGCTCAAGGCTTCATCAGGAAAATATCGAGGTGCCTATAATAATCATAAGGATCTAGTAATCAATACATCAATATTTGTACGTTCCCAAAATATTATTATATATTTAAAATTAAAGTTCCACATTACACCAAAAGATCAATTATAGATAAATACCATTAATGGAATCTCTGTCCTACTGACATGCGTCCCTACTGCCGGAGAGCCAACCCAAAACCACTCTGGAAGTAGGGGACCATGCGGGCCAACGAATGGGGAAGGAGGTACGCCTGTCCATGATGTGTCCTTCAAACAGTTACTGGATGCGTTCTGAAAGTCATAAAAATATATATATGG